GGGTGGGGCTCAGGCCTTCCATGTTCCTGCGTTAGTCTCCAGAATGCTGGATTTCAGGCGTGTGCCACCACCGCCGGCTGCAAGTCTTCTGACTGCTCAGACCTGACGTGTGCCTCGCTGTGCTGTCTGAGTGGAGCCTGGCCTTCCGCTCTGACAGCACTCTGACCTGCGGTGCCTCCCCTGTGCTGACAGCACGCTTCCTAGCAATTCCTGTGCTTTATGACCGTAAATTCATCTCATTGTCGCAACTCGGGCTTTCAAAACGTGTGTGAAAAATGGACAAAAACAAGGTCTCAGCGTTTTCCCCGGTACGTCAGAGCAACGTAGAGAAACTGTCCAGTGCTGTACTGATTGCTTCTCCTCTTGTGAAGTCTCCCACCAGGAGTGTGGTGTGGGCCTCGCTGGAGGCGGCCACCTGGGAACCTGGGCGGGCAGTAAGGTGGGAAGCGCTCAGTTACAGTTCCCTCGCTGCACAGCATCTTCACTTTGTTTTCGTCTGCTGTTGCTTTTTAGCCTCTGGGCTGCTCTAGTGGTCCTGAGATGAAAACCGTACGTTGTGGAATCTCGGACCCTTCACATGGTTCCCATGTCGGCAGCAAATCCACAAAGTGCACCTCCGCCCGCTCTTTCGGGCTGGCTTCGGGGGCTGTGCTGCCCACATCAGTTGTGTCTGTCTTCTCTTCCATTGGTCTGCTCTTGTGTCAGCACCAGGCTGGTTTTGTCATTATGGTTTTGCAGTGTAATTTGTGATTGGTGTGTGTGTGGTGCTGGGGATCAAACCCATGTACCCTTTGCCTCACTGAGCTACATCCTCAGACCCTTTTCATTGTTTGAAAGCATTATTTTGAGGCAGACTCTCAATAGAAGTTGCACAGGGGGGACTAAAACCCTTGGACCTTTTGCCTCAGTCTCCCAAAGTGCTAGGATTTCGGGTGGGTGCCAGTGAGCCCAAAAGGTTTTGTAGCATAATTTGGATGTGGGGATTGTGACGCCCCCAGCCTTGTTCTTTTTGCTTAGGATTGCTTTGGCTATTTGGAGTCTTTTGTGTTTCCTTGTGAATTTTAGGTTTGTATTTTTCTAGTTCTGTGAAGAATGTCATTGTGATTTTGTTGCGAACTGCATTGAATCTGTAGATCACTTTTTGTAATGTGGCTGTTCTAACAATATTGACCCCTCCAGTCTGTGAACACAGGAGGTCTTTCTGTCCTCTCCGTCTTCTTCAGTTTCTTGTGTCAGTGTTCCATAGTTTTCCTCGTAGGGATCTCACTCCCTTGGTTAGGTGGGGCTCTAGTTGTTTGTTGTTGTTGCTGCTGCTGTTGCTTGAAGTTATTGTAAGTGAAGTTATTTTCCTGATCTTTCTCAGCTAGCTCATTACTGATGGTGGAAAGTTATTGTTTGATTTATTTTTTTAGTGTTGATTTTGTTTTTGCCTCTTAAAAACCCCAGTTTCTTTAGACCTGGGTGTCCAGCTACTTTTCCATCCATGTGGCACGTATGGCGGGGGCCAGATGGGCTCCTCTCAGGCTCCGCCCAGTTCACAGGCGTGCTGGTGGGGACATCGCCCTTTCTGTGACCTTGACTGGTATGCACTGTCAGTAGATTGAACGCAATGTTGTTTTCCTGATTTATGGGAAGACTCCAAGGTTTCGTGGACATGAGGTGTATGCTCTCATTTCTAATATAAAGAACTACTCAGTTAATGCTAATTATGTGTGTATTTACTCTCGAGTTTAATACATCACTTCATGCCGTTTTATAAAAGACACACAGGTGGTGGGGAAAGGGGAGAAACTAAAATGCTTAAAAACCAGGTGTGATTTTTCTAATCCTTATTACCGCCTATCATTATATCTTTTTCTACATTTGGAATTTGGAATGGCTCACTCACTTGTTTAACCTCTGCCCATAGTGGAGTATCTCACATATCGAATACTCAGTATTTATTAAATAAACCCCATTTTCAGAGTGAACGATTTCTGTGTCTCTGACAGTCTTCCCAGGTGAGGGCCTGACAGCCGAGTGGCCCTTAGATCTGTGCTGGCCGGGCCTGTCCTCCCCGAAGGTGTCCTCTCCACTAGGCATGGGTCTTACACGAGTTTAAAAGGTATCTTAGTGAATAAAAGTTCAGTAGACATGAGGTTAGTTGAAAAAGAGCCAGGGTGTGTGGCACAGGTCAGCCAAAGTTGTGACTGTGAAATAAAAGCAGTAGAAATCTGTTCATTGTTCTGCAGTTGTAGGTCTTGGTGGATGCCTTTTAAACCTCTGAGCTGTGTGTTTCCCCATCGCAGTAGGTGACTGAACTACGTGAAAGTGTAGCTGGGTGGGGAAGGGTATGTATCTGGTCAGTGGACACATTATTTTAATGCCTGATAACCATCACTTAGCTCCATGTAGAATCGTAGTGCTTAGTACGTGTCTGTACACATCTGTCTGCAGATTATTCCTGAAGAGATCCTACAAACGTTTCCCTAGTCTGCATTATGAATAAAACAGATCAATTCTGGAGTTAGAGGTGTTTGCCTTTTTATTTATTATAGAGAAATTGTTATTCTTCTCAATTTTATGCTATTTTGCATCTTTGGTGATTGCTTTAAAAAGAGAACACTCTCTTGGTAAGATTGGTTATATTTACAGTGATTTTACACATTTGATAAAACATCTTTCAGCTTCTCCATCATAAGATGTCTTATCTGTTTATGTGTCATCTAATCAAAAGCCCCCCAGTAAATTCATGTTTAAATCTTTTGTGTACCTTGTATCTCATAAAATTAAAACAAATTTCTGAACAGATTGTCAGTAAGTATTGTTAAATACCCTACTTAAGGTAGGGTTGGTGCAATGTGTTTACAGAGCCAGGTCTGCGTGAACATGGAGTACAAATGTATCTCGCTTGTTTGTTTGGTGCTTTGAGGTAGCAAAATCCATTCGATCATTGTCCTGCATCAGCTCTCTGGTGAGGCTTAATCTATGGAATAGCATCAGATTTTTGGAGGGGTGGAGGAGATAAAGGTCAGATGAGAGGTAGAATGTTACTAAGGTAATCCCTTTTTTAGTTTTAATGATACATCCTTGTGTTTATTATTTACTAGCTAACAAGGATCAGTTATGCAGGCAGAAAATAGAGAATGTTGTTAGCATTTAAAGATGCCAGATAGCACGTGTCTTAAATGTTGTATGCATTACTAGCTAGTAATGTAAGGGTCGTGTAAATAAATGTAGCTCCCCCTTTTTCCAGTTTAAAAGAGTGGTAATAACTGGAAGGGGAGTGTAAGGTTCCTGAGGGCAGTATTTTCTTATAGTCTCACAAACTGACCAGCACACAGAAAGAGGTCTGCAGATGTATGCTGCATGAACAGATGTGTGAATGTTTCCTTTTAAAATCACTTCCTTTTAATATATGAGGAGTGTTACAGCATTTGAAGGATCCTTCGTGAGTCTTGCTTATTTTAGTGGAAGCTGTTTTTATTTAAACGTGAAAAAGTAGAACCTTGATAAACGGGGGGAGGTGCAGTTACTTGTACGACACTGTGTTTATTGATTCTAAGATGCTCATTTGTAAAAACTGTCAAACATCTTTTGATCATAAAAGAACCTTTAAACTGCCCTCTTGTCTAAGCTGTTTCTTGCCACAAAGTTGCACTTGTTATTGCCAACTACTAGTGTGGCGTTAATTCGCTGATTGACATGTAAAAAGCACACTGTATCACTAAATTAGGTGCTATTCCAAGGTCCTTTTAATCACCAAACCTACCCATTCAAGCATTGGATTTAGTATTATTTAAAGTTCATTGCATGCTCATAAACATTACAGTTTATTTTGTGATTGATAAATAGGATAGTATTTTATGAATTTGAAATAGAGTACAGTGTTACAACATTAAAGTGTCTTCATGAAGTCCTTGGTTCAGATTATAATTCTAGCTGTCTGCACCCCCCGCAGCTTCCTGCAGATTTCACAAAGCTGCACCTCACGGACAGTCTGCACCCACAGGTGGCCCACGTCTCTTCCAGCCACTCAGGATGTAGCATCACTAGCGACTCTGGAAGCAGCAGCCTCTCTGATATTTACCAGGTAAGAGGACGTTTCCTCTGGCATTTGGTTCATTTTCTTGCATTCTCAGTTGGTACACAGCAAGTACATGTGTGCGGATTATATGTGCATGGATGTATATAAAGCACAAATGGTCATGCTTTGTGTAGACATACGGCATGTTTTATGTATATTTGTTTAGAAAGTTGAGCTGTCAAGTTGTACTTGCCTCTTCTGTTAACAGAATTTTAAACAGAGTGGCTGCAGCGGGATTCTCTTTAAATGTTTTATTCATTTGACTGTAGCTGTTAGTAGGTGATGACTCTTGATTGGAAAACTACACACTTATGCCTTTGTAGCAGATTTGCCTGCCTTCCTTCTCTGCCCCTAACCTTCCTCCCTTCCTTCTTCCACACTGCTCTACCACTGAGTTGTGCTGCAACCTCTTAAGAAATTTTAACTAAAAGTAAATGAACCATTAAAATACCATGTAAAAGATGTTAAGTTCTAAATTTAGTAGACTTAGGAATTAAAATTTTCTTTTAATTTTAAACTTTTTAGTGTTTTTACTGGTACATTTTTGCAGTACATGATTACATTCATCATGGAAGTACATGCTTTTCTGTAGTTACTGTAGTAAATAACTAGTATTTCCAAAAATATTTTGTTAGCTATAATCACAATCGTTTTAAAATTCTTGGCTGATTAAGAACTTACTATTTTGCAGTAAGATATAATTTCTGCTTCTTTAATATGACTTTGCAGATTTGTATTTTGAACCATACAGTGTTAACTTACTGTGAAGTCTTTGGGCAGTGAGTCTATTTCAGTGTTGGAGAAGGCAGTGGGCTGGTGGTTTTACTTCTGCTGGGTACACACACATGCATGTGCCCTATTTCTGAGAATTGATTTTAAAAGCATATTCAAGAGTTCCCTTATACAGTGAACAGTGTAAGTAAAAGGTGTGCTGTAGCTTATATGGAGATGTCGCAAAGTCCTTGTCCTGTAAACTTTGAAATTTGTTATTGTACATTTTGAAGATCTGTGGTGGGAATATAACGAGATTAAAGCAGTTGTCATTATCACTGCTCTCAGCAAACATATGAAAACATGATCGGAACTGCTAGAATATAAATTTATAATAACCAGCAACTTCTTTACATAACTTAGGGAGATGTATTTTGAAGGGGTCCTAGTATGCTGTGCTGTTGCCTTGAGTAGGCTGGGTAAGTTCCTCACGATAGTGCTGCCATCTCTGGCTGGAGAAGGCCGAGTGAGGCGCAGGTTCACTGCCAGATGCCTCTGACACAGCGGGAGCATGCAGCCTGTGTCCTGCCTGGTCTTTGGCAGGGCAAGGGGCCTGCACACCTGTGGATTGCTTGGTTGAGCCCGGAGACTGTTACTTCAGACTTGGTGGCAGGCAGTGGCCTGTGCTTATCCTCAGGAGGAGCAGCCCATGGGCCCATCTAAGACTCGTTCCTGCAGTTGATACATAGTAGAGCTTCCCCGTAGACCACTTCTGCTCTCCTCGAATCAGGAATTCTTAAGGTGAAAGGCTCCCAGACGGGCCGGATTCAGCTTCCCATCTCACATTTCACCTCCGTGTTTCTGTACCATCAGGCGTCCAGTTTCTTCTGGAATAACTCGGGATGCACAGCTCTCTCCCGTGGCAGTCCCTTAGTGCTGGTATGGTCCTTGCATGGGAGGAGGCCTTTCCTCTGGGTGCAGACATCAACACTCAGCATTGTTATAGGGGAGAGAGACAAGTGGAAAGGTGTTGCTGACGTGGCGGGAGGAGACGGACCCAAGAACAGGAAGGCACGGTGGGCCATAGAAGAAGTAGGTACATCTTGGTGGTGTTGGAGTAGAGAGGTTGGTAGTTGGGAGTGCTTGCCTTTGAGCTTCTGTGTTTTCCCTGAAGAATTTCTTTATTGAGCTTGTGAGGGTTCTCAGGTAGCGTTTTAGGGAGAGACAAGTTTTGGAGCAGTAGTTGCAAAGAGCAGGACAATCTGTTGACCAGAGAAGGCTTAACTGAGCTGTGTGTGTGCCTTAAATACATAGTGTTTCCTTTGCTGTGTTGTCGTTTGCTTCACAGTAAGCACAGAGGAAGTGAAGGTATGATTTACCCAGAACTGAAGTTTTAGTAAGTGAGTGCCATACAAAGACACGCAATGCAACGTGGCCACTTGTTCTACCAGCACAGCTTTGTGACTTCCTGCAGTGTGTTTCCTCATAACCTGATTCTCTTCTGCCTTCATTTTCAAGCATCATCTCCTGAGAGGGTTCTTCCCTTAATTCACTCTTTCCTTTTTTTATTGTCTGTGAAGAAGATGCTGCATTTTGATGTCTCTTCCGGCTAGTCCCTTCACCTCCTTCCTAGATTCTGACCAAAATGCCTGTCTGCCTGCCTGCTAGAATGGCAGCTGCTCAGTAGAGGGCCAAGAAATTGAAGGCCTGTGGTAAAGCTGTGTTGCGTAAATGTACTGGAAATAATGGACTAAGGTATATACGGGCTGGATGCGAGGGAAATAAAGACAGGAGAAAGGAGAACTAGACACAGAAGGCAGCAGAGTCCTGCAGACTGAGACGCCTGCTCAGGTTGGGAATGGGTTACCTGAGAGGCAGGGGAAGTAAGCTCGAAGGACGGGATTGGTGGTAGGGTGCGACGCCTTGGAGAGAGGAGATAGTGCCACCCTAGACAGGATTAAATGTGGAGTGGTGGGGCTCTGCGAGTGGCTTAGGTAAGGTTAAAATAGCTGTTCAAAAATAGATCAATAGAACAGAGTTTAAGCAAAGTGGAACTCATGTGCCAAGATATCAGCAAAGAAAATGGTGGATTATTTAATATGTGATCTTTGGGGTGGAAGATAATTTTATATTCTAGCTCTTTGTCATAGTTGGATAAATTCCAGAGTTAGCAAATTTGTAATGTTATAATAAGTGATCAGAACATTTTAATTAAGATACCATTGAGACCAAGGTTTAAAGTCAGAATATAATTTATGCAAGTTAATAAGAAAAATGCTTAGTTCACAACATAAAAATAAATCTTCAAAGGCAATTTACAAAAGAAAATATAAGTATCTGTGCCTTACAGTGTTTAAACTTCTAGTAATTGAGTATAGAAGTACTTAAATATGACACTGCTTTGCCTATCATATTAACACAGATTTTCTTACTAAATATGGCAGTATAAAATTTTGAAGAACATAAATTCTGATACACAAAGTTGACTTGAAACATATATTTTTTCTAATATATTTTTGTACTTTATGCATTATTAAAGGAAATTTAAAGTAAAGCACATTAGTGGAATGTTCCTAGTCTTGTCTCACTTAGCATCAGTATAACTTTCTAGGTTAAATTTTTGGCAGGATCTGGCTTAGGTATTTTGGGTTAAATTTATATGTTCAAAATTCTGCATAAAGTTTATTTACATTGAGGATATTAAACAACTTCCAAATGGCAGTATGTGTGGGACATTAAACAAGCAAAAAATATTTTTGCAATTATTTTAAAGTGCTTAAACATAAAACATGTATAGAATTTTAGTTTTAGTTAACAGTTCACTACAGCCTTATGACATGTAAAATATCCTTGGTTTATTCCTTTTCTTGATGGATAGCTTTTAAAAAATGCCAAATAAATGGATTTTAAGAACTGTCTTAATCATTTGGCTGGAATCTAACAGTTGCTAAATTAGTCTGATGGAAATTTATTTACAAGTATGGAAGTGGGTGGGATGTTTTACAGTTTGTTGGTTGTTTTGGTCAAATTTTGCAAATATATGTTGTGCACCAGGCTCACTGCTTACAGGGGGAGAGGTAGAAGGCATATGATAAGGTGAAAACTACGTTTCTTTGAGGACAGGGTCAAGGGCTCTCCCTGAGCCATGCCCTCCGTCCTGTCAGGGATGCGGCTGGCTTCCTTGGCTTATTTGTCCCGGAGGGAGCCCTGGGAGCGGGGAGGAGCTGCAGCTGCACTTGGGTTGGTAACTGTGTGGGTCGGAGAGGCTATGTGGCTTCACCACAGCCTGCTGGGAATGGTAGAGTGAGGTGTGGAGCCACCACCCTGAGGCTGTTTATTCAGCAGATATAAATTCGGAAAATCAGAGATTCAGGCCCTGGAAGTGCGCCCTCTCCTCCTAGAGACCAGTCTGCATTCATTAAAACTACTCAGTTTCCAACATCATCTCATTCCCGTGGCAGTGGTATTGTGAGATTAGTAGTTTCCTGGAAAGTTGTTTATCATGTTCTTTTAAAATGTATTATGGAGAGAATTTACTATGTTAAAATAAAACTGATGCTTATTCCAAGTAGCTGGCTTAATGAATGAACGCTTCTTTAAGAATGGAATACACATAGAGGTAGCAAACAGCTATGATCAAGTGAGCTGGAAGCTTCAATGTCAGAAAGATGAATGCAGGGACCATTTGGAAGTCATTTCTTCATTTAAGATTTCAGTAGGCTGAGGGTGGCAGGGTGGCTCCGTGGTAGAGCCCTTGCCTAGCAGCCCTGTAAGCTGCATTCGTATCTGTCAGATGGGAAGCGGTAGCTTAGGTTGTGCTTAAGACTGGAGCTAGAATTCCTGAGTCCTAATCTCAGTTCCACAGTTTATCATCAGAATGAATATGGGAAAATGATCTCTCTTCACCATAGTATTGAAAGAACAGTAAAAGTTAGTGACTTTTACTTCCTAGGGTTGTTTTAAGGATTAGTCGACTCATACATGGTACTTAGAGCAGTGCCTGGCACATTGTAAGTATTCAGTGTTTATTATTATTACCAGGTTCAGTATTTTGCATTTTGAAATCTTTTTTTTAAAAGTCTTTATCTGCGTACTGTTGGAGATATTTATTGTCTTTGGAGATTATATGGGCTTCGATTTTAAAGTTGATAAACTTTGTAGTACACATTTTCTGCAAAATTTATGTTATGTTTTCCAGAGTTTAGTACTTCATTTTGAAATGTAGTTAACTTTTAATTAAGTTCATTTTCACTCCCAACAGTGAATCCATCTTCATGTTGACTAAGACCAGTGTAACGCAGATACACAATTACTGACAGTAATGACCTAAAAAGGTAGTAGGTAGTAGGTAGTAGGTAGTAGGTAGTAGGTCTGGTCCTCAGAAAGCTTGACAGAGACTGTCTTTGAATGAGCGACACTGGTGACCAGGACCGTGTCCACACATCGGGTGATGGTGCAGTCAGTGGGGAGAAAGAATGTGTCACCTGTAGGCTTGATTTGTGATCTGCGAGCGGTCACTGGGGTGGTCCGGTTCATGGTTCCTGTGTTTATCTAGTTAACGTTGACTTGTGTTTGGTTTTCCATACAGACTGTCTTAAGGGGAAGTGGTGATGTTTTCTTGGCATTAATAAATTCACACTAATTCTTCTGGGGGAGGAATTGCCCAGAATTCATACTTCATCACCCTGTGCAGCTCTTGGCTTAACCATTGTCTTTGAAAAATGGAGCTAGGGGCTGGGGATTTACCTCAGTGGTTCCATGCCTGCCTCGCAAGTGCAAGGTCCCGAGTTTGATCCCCAGTACCAAAAAAAAAAGGAAACGAAAGATGGAGCAAACAAATACTGTCCTTTCTTCTTTGTTCCACTCTGTTTCGTATGCCATGAGAAGGTGAATTTTAGTAGAGGATGAAATCACTCATGTTCTGTCTAAGTCATTCTTTTGTATACTGTTGGTACTTGGTTGCTGGGTGCTGGACCCATCTAACTTAGTTACAGAAAAATAAGACTGTACTGAACCACAATTATTCCTTTCTCCTTGGACCCCCAAAGCTTGATTTGTTCAGTGTTTCAAAATGTATCATCTGTCTCAAGGCCACAGAGAGTGAGGCCGGGGACATGGACCTGAGTGGGCTGCCGGAGACGGCGGTGGACTCTGAGGATGATGACGATGAGGAAGACATCGAGAGGGCCTCGGACCCTCTGATGAGCAGGGACATCGTGCGGGACTGCCTGGAGAAGGACCCGGTCGACAGGACAGACGACGACATCGGTGAGTGCGGCGGAAGCGTGCAGGAAATTTGCAACCTGTAGTACTTACTGGAAAAAAGGTGGAAAACTTTTACTTCATGCCCTCGAGAGTCTAAAAATAATTATCTGAGTGAAATATCCCAATAAAACTCTTCCACATGTAACTAACTTCTTAACTCAGTTTATGACCAAAGAGAAGTTAGTCTTCCACAGAGTGCCTCTTCTGCTGACTTCCCTGTGAGTGCTGGCCCCAGTCAGCCCGTGTCTGTGCAGACTTTGTCAGTGGTCGCTCCACCTGGTCGTGTCGGTGAGTTTGCTCCTACCCTGAAAATGAGGCTGGGCTAGGGAAGATGGTGGCTGTGGGGCCGAGGTACACGGTGGGTCATGGTGGAGATGAGTGAGACACCCACCCCACCCGAGCCTGTCCCCGGGGGTCCGTCTGCCCCCACTCTGCCAGCTCTCTGAGCCCTGTGTCTTTGATGAAAACCAGGGACCTCAAGGGGCTGGATGCGGGAAGGTGCGGTGGAACGTGCGGAGTGTACCTAGGACACCCATTTAGACTATGTGCACGCGCTAGCCAGTTACAGCGGGAAAACCGGAGCTGACCGGGGTCAGCCTTGTGAAGTTTCCTTGGAGTCACGTGTGGGAGTTGCTGACTGTGGGCGCGCATCGTTGTAGGCAGTGACTGTCTCACACAGGTCTGCACCCTGCCAGTGCGGGCCGCTCCCTCTCACACTGAGCACTTTGTGTTAGCCCTGGGGGTGACGCACCAGGCTGGTATGGAGCAGGGGAGGCAGGGCTGTGGCCGGGATGCCCAGGCGTGGACCAGGAGATGTCTCTCAGTTGCACTCATGAAGACGTCCGGTTTCGCTTCCTTGTGGATGTGGCCAGCGTGTTCATTTGACTTCCAGCATCTAAAACTGGCGTTTGGTCTCCTTTTCTTTGATAATGGCCTGCTGCTCTTTTTCAAAACTTTCCCTGTCCTTGTAAGGAAGGACGGGAATCAGAAGTGGTGGTGCACGCCGGGAGGCTGAGGCAGGAGGATCCCTGTGAGTTTGAGACCAGCCTGGGCTACATAGTGAGTTCCAGGTCAGTCTCAACTACATAGTGAGACCCTGTCTCAAAAAACAAATAAAAAAGTGTGTCCAGGTTGCCGTCTTGATGTAGAACCTTGCCTCTAAGGTGGATTATGTTTTGTGTGTGTGTGTGTGTGTGTGTGTGTGTGTGTGTGTGTGTGTGCGTGTGTGTGTGTGTTTTGTACTGGGGATCAAATTCGGGTCCTTGTGCTTGCAAGGCAGGCAGCAGAACCACTGAGCTAAATCCCCGGCAGATGGGACCTTGCTTCTGAAGGGATTCTTTCGGAAGCAGCCCTTTTGCAAGGATCCATACATGCTCTTTAACCCATTCATCTCGAAAGAACAGATTATGGGAGAAGTGCATTGTATTTCATGTCTTTCCTGGAAATTTATGCCTTTCACCTCACATCTGAGCAGCCTGCTCCCTGATTTGTCTGGAAAGCAGAATTTGTGCTTTGGATAAATCCAAAGCATGCTCCTTTGTTTTCTTTTCCTTTTTCCTTTCTTGTTTTCTCCATTCCTGTTTTCAGGGATCTCACTATGTTGTCTAGGCATGGTTCCAGCAATTCTCCTGCCTCAGCCTCCTACATAGTGGCTGGGACTGTAGGAACACGCCACTGTGCCCAGTAACCTTTCTTGTCTTATCTGCTCTTTTCTTTTTTCTTTTTAACGAGCCTGTCAATATAAACATTTATTTGAATACCAATTGCCTTACAAGCAGTGATAACTCTGATACTTGCTGCTATCAAACATACATTTGTTTAAAATAATACATTGCTTAAATTCAAGAGAAAGCTGAAGGGCATGGTTTTTTTCCTAAGGAGAACTTGAAAGACCTTGTATTTTGTTTCCTTCAAAATAAAGCTATTAAAGATAGTTAATTTGTAAGATGTGCACTTTGCAGCCCTAATGATGCACAAGCTTTGGTGTCACATGGTTTCCTTGATATGAAAAACCTAAAGTATAAATGGAGAACAAAATAAAAGACATGACAGGAAGTAGGGAGCGAGAATGTTCTTGGAAGGGAAGGGGATCCTGAGGTGGATGGGGGAGAGAGGGATGAAAGAGGAATTGATGTATTTTGCACACATACCAGTTCCCCACAAGGAACGTGAACGCATGTGCTACAGTGTGTGCACGTACATGAGCAAGGGAGGCCACGAAGGAGCGTGCTTTCATGCCTGTGCTGAGTGCTCGGCTAAAACACACCTCTCTAGGGACCGCAGGCGCTGGCGTGTCGGGGCTCTCGGGATGCCCCCCTCCAGCTGCCTTCCTCTGCCTCTGTAAAAAGGCAGGAGAGCGATAAAGAGAGTGTGTCTTCATTGTTCACACAATTGTATTTTGGACAACTGCACGAAGAGAAAAATTCCTTCTGGGCGCCTGTAGTTTCTTTTGTGTGCCTTGTTTCAGTTGGCCAAAGGGAGGGACTTTTCATTCCCTTATGCTCTACAGTGTACCGCTTTGTAGTACTCAGTTACGGAATGATTGTAACATTTATTTGCTGTTTTGTGGACTTGAAATATTAAGACAGATAAGTACTTTGATCTCTCAAATAATTCCTTTTCTCCCTACTTTGTGTATCACTGAAAACTCTAGACTTTTTAAAAACTCCTAGTATTAAGATTTTTTTTTTTTTTTTTTGGTACCGGGGGGTGAACTCCGGCCCTTGTGCTTGTGAGGCAGGCAGCAGAACCACTGAGCTAAATCCCCAGCCCTAAGCATTTTTGCAGTTTTTTTTTTTTTTTTTTTTTTTAAACCAGGGATCGAACTCAGGTCCTTGCACTTTGAGGCAGGCTGTAGAACCACTGAGCTAAATCCCTGGCCGTAAGCATTTTTAATATAAAATTGAATCAAGCAAACTAAGATAAGCTTCTGGTATCTGTAATTTGGTTGTTTTTTTCTTTGTGTCATACTGATTAGAAAATTTTTTATAAGATTAATATTTTTCTTAAACAGGAATATTCCTTTTATGACAAACTAGAGTCTATCCCAGTAGTGCATCCTGGATGAGATATCATTCTATAGATTCTTGTAAACAGTAGAAAGGACGTCTTCCCGCTCCCCATCCATCCCCTGCAGCCTCCCCTTTCTCTGTCCTAGGACCGCCCTCGTACCACGGAAGCTCTGATTTCTTAGCCTTCTTGATCCCTTAAACTGCGTACGGTCCCTGCGGCACTGTCCCAGTTTAGCTTAAGCCAAATGTTTCTATTTTATATTTATTATATTTTCAAAGGTGGGCTGTAGAGAATGTGTTTTTATTGAGCTGCTCTTGCCCCTACTGTAATACATGGTCATGTAGAAGTCACTGTACACCCAGTGATTGGGAACTGTTGGGCGCTCAATTCTTACACACTCTCGGACGTTGCCTGGTGAAGCACTTGTGTCCCCAGTCTTCCATGTGAGCCGAGAGAACTGTGCCCTTACTGATACCAGATCTTTCCTGTCTCTCCTACTGTTTACTCTTACAAGCAGTGAGACTTTCTATCTCCCTGCTCTTTTCAGTGCTGGTCACTGCTCTCGTATCACAGGTTGATTTCATGGCCCTGTCTCAGACGTTGTCCTCTGCCTGGGCCAGCACACCCAGCACCTGCAGCTTAAAGGAGGGCTGCCTCTGAGGCGGGACTGAGGGCAGAGGGCCCGACCGGGAAAGGTGCTCACCCGTGGCTGGCGGAAGCAGAGCCAGAAAGGAGGTGTGCCGGAGGGGAGATGAACCCTTCAGTCTGGTGGCGCCGAGATCCCCCTCTTCCAGGAGGCCCTGCCTCCTAACAGCACACTAATCCACTGATGCGGCCGCCCCCACACCTCCACACCGCCACACCTCCGCCTCTGACACGGGAGGCTGGGGGACGTAGAGACAACAGCTTGACACAGCCCCTGGCAGCCGGGGATCTGACACAAAGCGAGGCTGGGTCGCGCAGTCACTTTAAAAGCATTCTACAAGTGTTAGCGGGGGTTTTACGTCTTCTCCATTCATTATCTCCAATCAGATGTGAAAACGATTTGACTTTGGCCATGTGAACATGTAAATTCAGAACTTTTCTGACAAATGGTTAATTTCTTAGCCTCACTTTCTTTAAAGCCATGAATATTGCTAGGGGAGGAGAAAGGTCGTGTCCGTGGCCGTGCCCATAGCACCTCCTGGTGCGAATGGGCCAGGAGCAGCAGGACCAACTGTGCCTCCTCATGCGCCTGTTCCCAGGCATGTGCGAGGCACCGGTTCCCACCTTTCCTATGGGCACACATGGGTCACATCCTGAGTGGGACTCAGAATGGCTTTTCCACCCTCCCCAGGACTACACCTGTTTAGAGGCAGGACACAGACACACCTACTTATCCCAGAGTTTGTTCTTCTAGCAGTGATATGTTGTGGTATTTTTCCTTCTTTTTTAAACAAATGCAGGTTGCAGCAGTAAAGGAATCGCCGACACGTACACAAGTCTGGGTCAGGGTGAAGAACAGGGTCCTGTTGGACAGACTCCCTGGGTAACACTCATCTTTGTTACCCTTCCGATGGCCACAGCCCTTGTTGCATGGAAAGTCTGTGCAGGGGAGATGCAGAGTCCTAAAGCCAGAGGGAGCCATCCTGTGTGTCCTGGAGGTGTCATGCTTTCGCACAATGCATCCTTCTGTTGTACTTATCTTTAGCAATTTCCAAATACATTCGGTAACAAAATGGATCCCTCAGTTTTCACAAGAGGAATGTACACAGGGACAGTTTGATTACGTGGGTGACAAGAACAGTGCAGCGTCTTTATTTAGCTGAGAGGTTGAATGATGTGGCTGTAATAATGACAGTAGCAGTTCTCATTTATTGAGCATTTACTCTGATCGTTTATTATTGTACTTGATTTTCACAACTACCAATGGAGGTAGCTACAATACTATTTTGCAAATGAGAAAATGAGGCCTTGGGGGAATTAATAACTTTCCAGCAGATACTAGAAGGCCCAGTGCACGCGTGAGCCCATGGAGTCCCCCGTGAGCATTGGAGGGAGGCAGGCTGGAGTCCTGTCACGTGTCTGCCAGAACTTCGACTTCTCCCTGAAATAGAAAGCACACACTCCGGGGAGCCATGGGCAAGAGTAGGGCGAGGACCCGGCAGGCACTTGGTGAGGAGCCGTAATAATAGGGGCTCACGGGACTCGAGAGCCGGAAGTCCACGCTGCTCTGTGATGTCACTGCGGGACAAGCAATGCCATATCAGTTCTCACTTTTATTGATCACAGCATGTTGTAAATTTTTAAATGTCTCATTTTTATAAATTTTCTTGATCCATAGAAAATCTTCCTTGGGATATTTTTGAATTAAAGGCAGCTATTCCTGCTAAACATTTTGGTTATCTACCTATCCAAAAGGCTCTAGAATGGGCCTACTGACTTACTGGAAAATTCTCAGAGCTTCGTTTCATTCCAGCCAGCTCTTGATATGTGTAAACAAGATCACAGCTCATTTCTAATTGGAATTCCCCATTTGAGGTCTAGTCACTTCCTCGGTGTCACCTTGGAGTGACAAGGAGATGTCACCACGTCCACGGTAACAGGTCTTTGTAAACCTGCCAGAGGTTCACCTATACTAAATCAGTATGTAAAGCTTTACAGCATTGACAAAGAAAGGACCCTAAAGCATTGAGAGTCTTTGCTGTTGTTGTTCCGTCCCGGGAATTGACCCACAGAGCGCTGTGCTACATTCCCAGCCCCTTTTATTTGGATACAAGGTCTCGCTAAGTTGCCCAGGTTGGCCTCAAACTTGGAATCCCCCTGCCTCAACCTCCTGGGTGGTTAGGATTACAGGCGTGCACCACAGCACCCAGGTTAAAGCATTGTTTCTGAAGACTTGTCTTGGTAAAAGTTGTAGTTCTGACATGGGGCGTGTGTTGTTTTTCAGAACAACTCTTGGAATTCATGCACCAGCTGCCCGCCTTCGCGAACATGACGATGTCGGTGCGGCGGGAGCTCTGTGCTGTGATGGTGTTCGCCGTGGTGGAACGAGCGGGCACCATCGTGCTGAATGACGGCGAAGAGGTCGGTCTGTGTCTCCCCATGCGCGGGCTTCTGCTGAGGGTCTCAGCACCCCAGCCGGACAGGATTGTGAGATAGTAGTTTGGTCACAGCGTCCCAGCCTCTTTCACGTGGCTGTCCGCTCTGTATCTAGCATTCCAGACGATATGGCTGTAGAGGTTGGAGGCTTTTGCTTGTGCTGCAGTGCTGGCTTTGCACTGTAGGCCCAACACCGTTCTCTGCTTTGTCCTGTGTCTCCTGACTAGCTGGACTCCTGGTCTGTGATTCTCAACGGCTCTGTGGAGGTGACTTACCCGGACGGGAAGGCGGAGATCCTGTGCATGGGGAACAGTTTCGGCGTCTCCCCCACCATGGACAAGGAGTACATGAAAGGGGTGATGAGGACGAAGGTGGACGACTGCCAGGTGTGGGCATGGGGACCTGGGGGCGTAGCAGTTACTGTCCTCCTACACTGCCTCAGAAAAGAAAAGCAGATGGCCCTCAGAGTTTTCTGAGGTCAACAGAACTATGTGTTCTGTTTTTTTTAAAAACACTCTCTTTTAGGGTATTTTAAAATTTCTATCAGTAATCTGTTCATCAAAAATAGGGAGCTGGACGTGGTGGCACACGCCTGTAATCCTAGCACTTGGGAGGCTGAGGCAGGAGGACTGCTGTGAGTTTGAGACCAGCCTGGGCTACATAGTGAGTTCCAGGTCAGTCTCAACTGCATAGCGAGACCCAGTGAGACCGTGTCTCAAAAACAAAACAAAACAAAACAAAACAAAAATACAATAAAAAATAGGGAAGTCAAAGGCACATTACAAAAAGAAATTATAAGTACATTAGTAAAGATGATGTGGTGCAGCTTTGCAGTGTTTTTATTTAAATACATACAAAAATAAATCGATTTTAGAAGAGACATGGATGTTACTCATAGTATGAATCAGTAAAAAGACTTGCTAGGAAAATAACTGCTAATAAATAGATCAGAAGGAATGAGTGTGGGTACTGATACTGTCAGTATTGACTACTTAAAGCCTTTGGGAGTGGACCGGAGGAAATAGGCGGCCAAGTAGGAATGGATACGCAGTTTCTGAGTGTGGGAGACTGAACTCGGAACTCGGTCTTCTGCTGCTGGGCAGGCACTGTCCCTGGACTGCACTCCGAGCCCTGAATGCCACGAAGGTTAGGTTAGTTTGTATAGTAGTCAGGAATAAATTTGAAGTTTGCTATTTTTATAATTGATGCCCGGTCCTCTACAAGTTTTGTCTGTGAAGGATAAAATGTTTGAAAGACTTGACTTAGACTAATGAATGTTGTTCTGGTTGTGCTTATGAATGTAGTCTGAACTCCCTCTGAATATAATTTATTCTAAAGGAACAATTGAAATTATAGTGTCTGTTCTATATAAGATGGCATCACTAATTTAAATTTTTATTTTTAGCATTTTAGCTTACTAACTAAAGAACATGTCCATGGCTATAAATAAAATAATACTGAATCAAAATGCTTTTGTCACCTATTTCCCTCAGTGATCACTGTAGAAGGAAAGAGACTATAAATTCCATGTTTTAAATATATAATGCCTGAAAATCATTTGCGGTTTAGTCACTTCTCAATTATTTAGTATAGCGGAGGAAAACAAAATGATACATAAGTCAAAACAAGCTAGAAAAGTGTTGAAGGTGTCTCTTCCTTGCTGCCTCCTGTTTCTTCTGGACCCTTCCTTCCTGGTGGAACTGCAGAAACCTTTGAGTTGGAGCGAATGACAGTGACATTTAGTAGTGTGGGGATGAGAAAGCGGCTTGGCATGAATAAGCTCAGTTATCCAGTGTGTTGACTGAAATTTAATTTTGCTTCATTCTATATCACCTGCAGTGTTGCTGCTTAAAATAGAACTTCTGCTGCCCGTGCTATCACTTGTGTTCTGTTTTGGCGGTGCTGGGTATTGAACCAGGCAGATGCTCTACCACTGAGGAGCATTCCCAGTCCAACTGTTGGTCTTTTATACTACATCTTGTTTGAGTTTGTATTTCCCGTGAGGGCACTAAGATAATACAGAATTCCCATTTGTTAACAGCTTCCTGAAAGTCTAAAACTTCTACAGCAATCATAAATTTTCAGATTGCATCACAAGTGAAGTTTTACTTATAAATTTCATTAAAGCAAAAAATAAGTCGCTAATAAAGAAGATAAATGATTTCAAGTAAAATCTATTCCTTTTCAAATGCCAGCTGTATGGCCGTATTACTAATTCACTTTGCGGTTCCTCTCCTTTCTGAGGTATTTCAGTTTGCTCCATAAGAAATGCCAAAATGTCTCTGCAGGCACTAAGGACTTCAAGTCAGACATTCTAACTCCCTTAAATTTTTAGTTAAGAAGATTGATTTTTTTTTTTTAGGACAGTTCTCTTGAAAAAGCATTTTCTTTACCACATCTATCGACTTACTTTAACTCAGGAATATATTTCTTTTTTAGAAGATAAATGAGAAAATTATGCTCTCTAAAACTTGACTGGAAGAAAGAACTCCTAAAATTACTTGGAAATAAAATGTTTCTAAATCTCTTATACAGATTTGGGAAACAATTTTTGCTGCTCTGTAAAAAGAAAATGGATATTTTTCAAAGACAGCCGCTTAATTCAAACTAGTATGGTCAGTGTTATAGAAATGGTATATTTTTAAAAGTTGGATTAGACTATTACTATTTATTGTACACAAAATCTTGTGTGTTTTGAAGGTTGAGCTTGTTGCTTCTAAATGCGCAATACATAAACTAGTGGGGCCGGTGCTGGGGAAGCTCAGGAGGGCGCCACTCTCAGGCTTGTGGAGCGGCCTGGCAGGGCCTCACAGCCGGTCATTTCCAAGGTCGCCTGTCCGTTTGTAAGGGAGGTGCCTCTCCCTCCGCCTGGGGTTTGTGCCCAGGGCTTTCGCTCCAAGCCGCAGCCCCAGACCTTGTTTTT